AGGGACTATTTCCAAAATACACAAACAGTTCATACAACTTAATATCAAAAGACCCCCAAACAACCCAATCAAAAAATGGGCAGAAGACCTAAACAGACATTTCTGCAAAGAAGACATTTAGATGGTCAACAGGCACAGGAAAAGATGCTTAATTTCACTAATTATTGGAGAAATGCAAATCAAAACTACAATGAGGTGCCACCTTACACCAGTTAGAATGGCCATCATTAAAAAGTCTACAAATAATAAATGCTGGAGAGGGTGTGGAGAAAAAGGAACCTTCCCACATTGTTGCTGGGAATATAAATTGGTGCAGTCACTATGGAGAACAGTATGAAGGTTCCTTAAAAAACTGAAAACAGACTTACCATATGATCCAGCAATCTTACTCCTGGGCACATATCTGGAGAAAACCATACTTTGAAAAGACACATACACACCCCAGTGTTCACAGCAGCACTATTTACAGTAGCCAAGACATGGAAGCAACCTAAGTGTCCATCAATAGATGACTGGATAAAGAAGATGTGGTATATTTATACAATGGAATACTACTCAGCCATAAAAAAGAATGAAATGATGCCATTTGCAGCAACATGGGTGGACCTGGAGATTTTCATATTGAGTGAAGTAAGTCAGAGTAAGACAAATATTATATATCACTTATATGTGGAATTAAAAAAATGATACAAATTCTATTTACAAACCAAAAACAGACTCATGGACATAGAAAATAAACTTTGGTTACCAAAGGGGAAAAGGCAGGGATAAATTAGGGGTTGGGGATTAACAGATACACACTATTGTATATAAAATAGATGAACAGCAATGTCCTACTGTACAGCATAGGGAACTATATTCAATTTCTTGTAATAACATATAATTGAGAATAATCTGAAAAATAATATATATAATTTAATTGTAATATTTAAAATCTGAGGCCTGTAAATCAACTCACTTCCATAAACATTTTTTAAAAAGTAAATTGTGGCCATCATAACACATACCTCCTTGATATTTAGGTCTGCAGCTCCAGGAATGACGTTCTTCTATACGAGCACAATACCGTTCTCAAACGTAAGACAGTTAACATTAGGTCGAGAATATCTAGCCTACGGCTCCCATTAAAGCTCCCAATTTTTCCCCAAAGAAGTTTTTATGACTGGTTTCTGCCTCCATCGTGTCTCAGTGCCTCAGTCCTGAGGACTGAAGGAACCTATCGCATAGGGTCGGGGGGTGGGGGGCAACCAGGTGTCAGGAAAGACCATGACGTTCAGACTCTGCACTTGCCTCCTCCTTCCCCATTGTCAATGCCTCTTAATTTCTTTTTCTATTTTACTGCATGCGTTGGTATTTACAGAATAATAATAACAAAAAATAATAAATGGTTTCAGTCCTCACTCTGTATTAGAAACTCAGCTAAATACTTTATTATAATTTCATTTAATCCAAACAAACCTCTAAGTAGGCACTGTTACTTGAATTTAAAGAAAGGGAGGCACCCAGCATTTAAGCTAACTGCCCAAGGTTACGAAGCCAAAAGGTGGTGAAGCTGGAATTCAAACCGAGACATTCTGACCCCCAAACCTGTGCCCTGAACCATGTAGATTTGTGCCTTTACCTTGAATATAAAATTCATGCTTTGACTCAGAAACACCTCCAGCTAAGCCTTTACGATAGACGAAGTCCACTCGTACTGCAGACAGCACAGCTCAGAGAGGCCAAGGCTGCCGCTGATTATGGGGGTTGCTTTGCTCTCTGCCGTGCCTGGACCACGGTTTGAGGAACTCTCCGCCTTCTGTGGCCCCACCTGGGGCGGCAGGGGGTGGCGAGCCCTCACCCAGTCCCTCCCTAACCACAGTGGAATCCTAAGTCACTATCCACCCTTTGCTCCAGCTATCAGACACGCTGGAGCCCACCCTGCCCTCCAGAGAGCCCCTTCCTGAGCATTAAACCTTTTCATACCCTCCTCGTGTGCATGCAGTGTTATCAGACTCAGCAACCACAACAGGCTTGGGGGAAGGCTGGGGGTTGGTCCTGCGCTCCACGGGGCAACCTCAAAATTGGATGCAAGCCCTTCACCAACACTGGCAAAGACACAAAGTGGAGACAGGGTCTCCCAGAAGGTCTCAGCTGAACTGTCCCCTGGGTACAGGCCATTCTTCATTCTCGAGTTCGCACAGAGATCGGGTCCTCTGCAGGGAGCCAGGTGGGACCGAGACCCCTGCGCACACGAGGAGGGGAGCACGTGCCTGTGGCCCCACACACGCTGGGGAGGCAGGGCCTGGGACCCAGTCCTGGAAGGACTACGGATTCGCTCGGAGGGTGTGACGAGGGGGTTTAGCTCTGCCACTGGGG